CTATTCACCCCCCCCCCTTCACCACCTCACAAGCATTTGAACATGGAACGTTCCACAAGCATTTTTCCAGAAGTTGCCGAGTTTTTTAATGAGGGCTCCTGTTGGAGATATTTGCAGCACAGGAAGACGCAAAGTAATGTTAAGTGCGTTAGTAAGGCTAACGATTTACCACGGAAGGTTCCAGAAGCCGTTGGGGGATAACTGTTTGGTTTGTCTCCTTTATGTGGAGGAGGGGGGTCGGGGGGCGGGGTTACCTGTGTGTCAATACTGTGTACTTTTTAGGGAAAGTAAAAATTCAACTGTATATGTTGTTTTTAGAAAAGTGCCAAATCAATAGTTTGGGTTCTCTTCCAGTGCAACATCATTTTCGACTTGCCCGTTTTTCTGGAATGTGAAACTACCACAAGTACGCGTCATCGTTAGAGCATCTAAGAACTTGAAGTGTCCATATCGAGCTTGACCAAAGACTTGATGATTGGGTAGAACATTTTTCTGGAACTTTCCAACTTCCAACACATAATCAGCGCTCCTTGAGGGGAGCGTTTCACTTTCACAATTTCCGCCTCTCCACATAGACGGACGGCACCGCAAGTTTCACTTTGCCTCCTGGGCACTGCAAATCACACAAAGTACCCAGTATGCTTTTAGAGAGGGGTTGGGGATGTTTTTTTTTTTTTTTTTTTCCACGCCCACAGCGGCGCACACAGACGTGACTTCACGAGCCGGACGGATGCGTGAAACGTCACCTGACTTGTTAATCAGTTCAAGACAATTTGGTGAAAGTGCACCCCCCCCCTCCACCAGCCGCTGATTGGCCGCCGAGTCTGCCCAACGCTTTCTGACATGTTTACATAAAAGTGACTCGGGGGAGAAGTCAGAAGGGGTTATTTGAATCCTCCCAAATAATTCTGAGGGAAAAGTGGAAAACCTCAAACGCCCGCGTCGACGTGGCTATGGCGCTTGTTTTTCAGCTTCCTTTTGGGGAGGCTCTGCTCAGGTTGCAGGTTCAAATGCCAACCCCCCCGGCACCACTGTCATTGAACAAGATACTGAACCTCTTGTTCCCTCGGTTGGTCGACGTGACCCGAGCGGCTCCTGTACGTGCCAAAACACCATGACCTCGTTCGCTGCCAGCCGATTTCAAAACAGCCTTGCGAGCAATCTTGTGTGAGCCACAAAATAGAGCCTTGTCGGTGTTTCGAGCTTGTTCTGTTCCGTCATCAGCAATAATCTTTGACACTGTGTTTCACTTCAGCTGGACTTCAATATGTGCTGTCAGCTGAGACCTATAGCACGTCAATGACTGCATCAGTTAGATGCAAAAAAAAAAAAAAAAAACACCCGCGCAAAAACCATTCCCGTGTTTTTGGGGTGGCTTTTAGCACCGCTAGCCCAGTCAAGCGTTACCTGGTCTTGTTGTTCACCTCCAGACACAGCCTCTGCAAAACTCTCTTGCATGGCAGGGCGAGGGTTGGAGGGGGGGGGGCACTCAATCTTCAATCTCTGGTTCAATCAAATAAGATAAGAAAACCTTTACTCGTCACACACTGGATACATTTGCAATTTACAGCAGCAAAAAGGAAGAAAGTAGAAAAATAAAAAGGATTTGCGTGCACAAAAATAAATAAAAAATATGAACTGGACACAGTACAGAATGAAAAATAAATAAAATATACGATATAAACATATGAGGTACTGCATATACTGCATATATGTTGCATAAGGTGGCTGTGCTTTTTAAAATGGGTGTGACGATTATTCTCATCATCATTTTCAAACTACAGATCTTTTCAAAAAGTATTTGTAATGATGACATTCCTCTTTGTATTATATGTACAATGTACAAATATGTGGCAAAATGCCACGA